ACTCGGAAACTTAGATCTAGCACTTAATATTTTAAGAGATGCAATTCACATTGTTTATCAACACAGATAACTAAATCGATTAATGACTAAATAAAGTACACATAAAATAGAAGCATACTTTAAGACCTGAGCGCAAATATCCATTATAATAAATTTTATTGTGAATAATTATCGTAAAGACCATCATTTTAATCAAAACTATGACCAGCAATTACCTATTTACAAAGTGGACTTGTTACTACAATCTTAATACCGGGTCATTCGACGCCTGATATTGAACAACAGTACCCAAAAAAGGATGTTGCTTCGCGTTGCATATGTTTGACAATTCCTCATATGCTTTTGCAGAAGGTGAATGTACAACAGTCAGCAGAAAAGCGTCTACGTTGCTACGGTTTGAGCTAAAGTAACTTAATGAGCTAAACATTTACAAAATAAGACGCAACAATTGTTCATACATCTTAAAACATCTTAGAGCTATACTTTTTTTTTCATCCATTTATTAGCCCGGTCTGATCTCTCCACAAACGACATAATTTACTCTTCTGGCCAAAGTCACATATTAAAGAGATCACTAGTCATCAGCATGAGCTGGTAAATCATTCATTCTCCATAATATAATCAAACAATCTTTATGCGTTTACGTTCAACAAAAACATTGAGGACTATTTAAAAACTTTTGTAATAAGAAAGAGAAGATTGATATTTTAAAGTCTACAGAATGAAAACTGTAAAGAAAATCCTTTTTTTCTCATTTTCATGACAGTCAATACAGGATTGAGCATTTTCTGGCTTCTAAGAATAGACATGATCCGGTAGGAATTTAGAGAAGTAGAAGAGGGGGAAATCAAGAGAAGATTAATTAAGTGTTATGAGTTGAATCTACACACTGGAATAAAGATTTGGTTTAATCCATCTTTGCTAGCATCGTCTTTAGAGGTGAGAAGTTAAAACACAAATTGAGTGGCATATTTTTAGATTGTAGTCGGAGAGCACGTAAATGGGATACATTTGAGGTTGTCCATTTATGTCATTTGTCAGCATGATATTTAACAACTCTGTAAATACAAGCAATGAAATGCATGAAATACTCCACAAAGTGGGATCAGATTTAAACGATAGGGTCCTAGCCTGCGGTTCCAAATTAAGGCAACTTAAGCATGGAGAGCCTTGATGCTTTGGCCACGAATAAGCGGCTTTTCTAGGAAGACACTAAGAAGAAGAATCACGCTCTACAGGATGGACATGCGGGAATTATATTATCATTCCTTACCCAATGCATTCGGCTCAAGATAACGAAATTATTATTCAAAATAATTGCTTTACTTGGAAGTTCGCGATTGTAGTAATAAATTGAGGGGCTTGTTTCGAAGGGCTTTGTAGGTATCATGTTTTTCTCTCACCTCACTCATCAAAGATTCGAAACATCCTCGAGATCTTCATGATCAATTAAATAGTTATGAATGTGGCTCACTTTAGATCAGAACTGTATTTTCTGAATGTAAGAAAAACCTATATTCAATGCATATTTCTTTTTTTTCTGTTTAATTAATTTGATTGTGGATGAAACAAACAATATTTGCTATTATAATCGACAAGGTTACTTGGAATCAAAATAAGTAGGTTTCGATACTTGCATTAGATCCTGACAAATAAAGAATACATTTACTATTCAAGATGATTTGGTAGTATCGAAAAACTTTATTTTTCACATTTAAGTATGGTTTTGAGACTACCAGTAAATCAGTAATATGAAATGTATTCACTCAATGTCATTTAAGGTGATGAACGACTGCTAGTAGAATTTTCCCACAATTATATGAGTAGAACTGATATTTTCATTCAATTTCACATAGACTTGCTTTCCCAAAAGTCGTTCTCATCCTGGCTGAAGTGGACTGCAGTTTCAACCTCGCATTGATTTTATCCAAACCCCCAGCGGGAGTCGAACCGTGACAGTTCAGTCCTTCATCACCTTAAACGAAATAGGGTGAATACATTTCATATTACTGATTTACTGGTAGTCTCGAAACAATACTTAAATGAGAAAAATAAGTAATGTAGTCGATTTTTATAGCAAATATACATTTGCTTCATCGAAAACCCCACCAAAGGCTTGACCTTCCTTGTAATTAACATTTGCCCTCTGACCCAAGAGCACTCGTGGCAATGACGTGTTAACGTGTTAAGTTCCCATTCTGCACTGTCACGGTTCGACTCCCGCTGGGGCTGTTGGTAGGACCGATGCGATGTCGAAACTGCAGTCCACTGATGCCTGAATGAGAACAACTTTTGGGAAAGCGAGGCTATTTGAAATTCAATGAAAACGTCAGTTCTGAACATATCATTGTGGGAAAATTCTTCTACCAGTCCTTCATCAACTTACACAAAATTGTGTGAATAAGTACAGAAAACTATTAATTCTGAATAAGCCTCTGTGGGATTCTTGACTTTGATATATACTTTGCTTCCCTGAATTAAGTTGTTGTCCAAAGTGCATTTGCTCTTTCTCTTGTCAGTTCACAGAACAAGTGAGTAGGTGCAAATTATTCGTTGACATGAGTCATTATTCATCAAACAACTTTCACTGTCTGGCTAGGATGCTAGTCCCAACTAATGACTTGTAACTTCTTGATGGCCTGTGGGGTAATCATCAACATCAACAATAACCGATTGTTTCTACTTAAGCTGATTATGCCAACAATTCACACTAAATTCAATAATTTTGTGCCTAACTACCGAACATATAAAAAGAATTATGAGTATTTCCATAACTAGATGAGCCAAGAAACTATTAGCTATGGCTGAGCCAAACATGACCCTATCGTCAAACCTTGTATTTGTTCATGCATTTTGATAACCAGGCTTATAAACTTATAAAATTAACCGAAACTTTACGCCTAATTCAGGCATATTTGGCAGGTCACCTACATTCAATGGCGTACCTTCCTAAGTTCGCTGTTTAATATATATTATTATATACAATCTATGAGGCTGGCATCCAAGGCTTACGTTGAGTCTTTAATTATAATCCCTACAATAAAATGTTCAAAAAGCCTTGTCTATTTAGTCTGCCCTATCTTTAACACCACCACTCGATTTTTTTCTAACTTTGGCACAATTTGAGCATTTATATAAAATTTGCCTATTCTAGCATTAAGGATCCCATTCTTAGTGCACCTACATAGCCATAAAAGCGACAAATTATAACTCAATATGACCTTTATTCTCCTATGGCATTGCCTCATTTATACCCAAAAATTATAATATTATTTCCCTTAAACTTGCCTATTTCTTTACATAATTCAATTTTCTTGACAGGATCTTTTCATTAAAAGTGTTATAGGATGATTTGAACAGGATTACCCCTTTATGAAATCATCTTTCCTTGTATGTTTAGCTCGCAGTGAATCGATAGTCATACATAAATTATTAAAATTCCTATCATATAAATTATCCACTATTCTGTATAAGATAAAGTAGTTCTCAGAGCCAAGGGATTAAGAAAATATTTTTCCAAGTCAGATCTCAATTCCTATTAATCAATGTTTTTTATTATATACATTTATAAAGAAAAGTACGACATATGTCGATAAGATCAGTCCTCGTTTTATGTGACAAATTTGACCCGAATATCTTTGGATTTGGTCGACCAAGACAATGGTCTTCATTCAAAAGCTAATCTCCTTCAGTCTCTCGTTAGGCTAACTCACGAACCAGCTTTACCTGTCAAATTAAAGTACGAGTCACATTAAAGTATTAAGCGAAGCTTAGAATCCCTGTTTACACTCATAAAGATTAATATGCTCATCAAATTGGCTCAAAAATCTAGTTTTTATAGAATGTGAACTTGACAATTAATTATTATGACACATAGTCTTCTTGTTCCCTTCAAGTCAAGCTCATTTTTCAAAGAGTATATTCAACCAGCTATAAGGCATTCAATTGATCATATCTCCTTTATACTAATTTAAGGTGACAAGTTAAACCTTTTCTGATTGGTATTGTTGTTGTTTAAATTGTCTCAAACAGATCATGGGGTATAGCGCCTCGAATGAAATGGATAGAGCGAGGGAGATAATGATGAGTGTTGGATGGAGTAACTTTCAGACTGAAAGGGACAATTTGCATCTAAAATTTAGCACAACAGAGGAAGAGGAATTCAACAAGTTTGGAATAAGTAAAGTGAAGGGACGAGATACAGCGGTTTTTGATAGGTGAACGTATCGTGATGGGAGAGATTCCACAACTGTTTCACCGAAAGTCGGTCGAGAGATAGACCTTATTTGCCTCTTTGACGAGTCATAGATAGATCTTCAGGACTGAAAAATTCACAGAATACACCAAAGAAACTTATGTGAACGTATTAAACCCACAATTCAACGCTGAAAGTATCATGTCCTTTATTGTTGAGGAATACGAACAAGGTGCATGTACCGATGTATACCTGATAACACAAAAACGTTTCGGAACTGCATCTATATTTACCAAACTTCTCTTCAAAAAATACTTTACAGACAATTTTATATTAACACTTAATGATTGCATTACGTAATCGTCCTTGTTTCTTATTTTGTGAAGGAGTGGGGATGACAATTACACTGAGTATAAAAATGTTAATTTGGGTTTTCTATATTGAGCCCTTTAACAGAGCTTTTATACTAAATAAGCAAATCTGTTGAGCTCCAACTCAAAATATAGTGCAGGAGAGGGTTATATGGTACGAATGTTGAAGGGCCAAATGATAACCTACCTGATTTACCTTCTCTGCCTGTTGCAACTCGACGGTCATCATCTAAGTCTAAGTCATCCTCCAGCCGGCTGCTGGATATCCTGTCTGTAAGTAGACGGCCATTGGAATAGCGATGCTGTCCTTCTGATAATTTTTTCTGATTTTGAAGTGAAGATATTGCTTCTTCAACATCTCTTGACGACCTTCTCACCCGAGGACTAGTGATTCTGGTGGACGGATAGTGACCTGCGTCAGACAGAACTGTCTGCCTAGCCGCGGAAGAAGGGTAGCCAGCGAAATGTGCTCCTGCATAGAGCGAACTAAGTTTCACACTGCCGACTCCACCTACAGGAATATCACTTTCTTCCTCGTCATACTCTTCTTCGTGCTCTTCTCCTTGTTCATCATCATATTCTCCATTTTTGAAACGGCGTTTTGGCTTGCCCATCGGTGCAGCAGCTGGACAACGACGGGTTGACATCCTTGCCAAACCTCCCATCCCTGAGGACGTATCGCTTGCTCCAGAAAAAGAATTACTGCGTCCGTCACTCTCTGAGATATTAGAGTCATCTTTTTCTGTCTCAAGAGGCCGCATCAAAACAAGACCAGCAAGCCAGCGATTGATTATTATTTTTACCTAAATATTTAATATAAAAAAGCTAGACTACTCTAACAACTTAAAAAAGTAGCATATTTTTACAGATAGCAAATAAAAATATATAACACAGAAAAAGGTGTTTCTTTTTACCATGAAGTTTAATCATCCTATTTCGTCTATGGTGATCAAGGGACTGGAAGCTAAGTTACCCCACATTGATATGAGTAAACCTGACATTTTCATTGAATTTCATATAGTCTTGCTTTCCCAAAAGATGGACTGAGGCTTCGACCTCGCCTACATCATACCAGCACCCACAGCTGGACAAAAACCATGATAGTGAAGCGTATAATCTCGACGTGTTAAACAATATTCCACACTGCCAGGAGTGTCCTTGAATCACAGGGTAAATTTGATTTTCTAGGAAAACCAAGCATCTAGTCATATCACATTATATGGTGTGATATTCGTTGGATCAAAGCTGTGTTTGCTATAACAGTCGAATACGTTACTCATTTTTCTTTTAAAGGTAGGTTTTCGATACTACGAGTAGATCGTATACACGAGATGTATTAAGACTATTTCTTTAATGCGATGAAACAATGGTGGTTGAATACTTTTACAATTTGGTAAGCAAGGCTATTTAAAAATCCCATGGATAAGTAAGGTATACTTATAGGATTGTGGGAAACTTCGACTACCATTGCCTCGTCACATACGTTATTACTTTTTTCATCAATTAAATTATCATTTATTTATTAATACTAAATTATTCTGAAGCAGACAAAATAATAATTAATGAACATAAAATAGGCTTTAAGATACTATAAACTTATTTAATATTCCGATCATATGATTGAATTAGCGTTTATTTGCTTGCATAAATCAAACTAAGTCAGTTCTATTAACCCCTATACTTCACCATGTTTGCAGTTTTAGTATAGCAATGTTATATTCTAAAATTTTTCTCAAAGAAGAGCAAATTTATGAGCTAAATGTTCGCCCTATCAGACAGCAAGATTAGTTATTAAGAAGAACTGGATTTCAAAAAATCGCATAATGAAATATTGTGGCATGACCCTTCATTTCGAAGGGAAAGTTGGTTTGAATGAATTCGTGATGTGGCCTCATCGGGAGCTGAAGGAGGAATACCGCGTAGGAAAGACTATCGGATTATGCGAAGAAGTACTTGGCTCATTTTAATGCGATACCGATGAAACTTTGGTAAGCTTTCGTCTATACTGTGATAGACATCATCAGAACAAGGATCCATACTTTACGAAAAAAGCAATAATATACTAAACCAAGAGAAAAGGTGGCCGACTGCAACCCTAGTTGCTTTGTTATACACCTCAACATCGCGATCTTAATGGGGCATCCCATGCTTTGGCTGGTCATATTTTAGATATATCGTGAAACTCACATTTTTAGTGAAGACTATAGATACTTATTTTACTTCCCAGATTCTACATAACATATGAAGTTGCAAAATTATATGCTATGGGATGCATGAATTATGTGAATCTTTGAACCTATCGGCATCAAAATTATTATAAAAAACAATTGTGTTTTCTCTATGTAGTTACAAATTATACAACATTCTAAAAATAAATATTTCTATCTTGAGCTAACACTCTTAATTAAGTACCTGTAAATGCATGTACAGCATAAGGACGATTTCTGAAAAAAATACTCACTTTGTCTAGTATAAATCATTCTTGAAAGAATAAATTAATATTTAGTTATCCTCTTATGTTGTAGATAATCTAATGCGTCTAGTGATAGTGATCTTGAATTTTAAGCAAGATTATTTGATATTTTTGTGATATAACTTTCAACCATATTATTGAAAGGGTTGAAGAAGAAGAAGAAGGATCAATTTTTCTATAATCCTCTCAAAAATTACTTTCATATTCCACAGTTATAATTTTTGATGGATTAAGAAAAATAATATAGGCAAAGCGCCAAGATCTCTGGCAAGGATTTTGCGATAAATGCTTTATAGGCTTAGCATAATTTTCTTAGTTTGACGACTAAAGGAATTAAGTATGTGATATACTATCTAAGGTATTTTATTGAGAAACATTGATTGATCATAAACCATGTGGTAAATAATTTTAATTCCACTACAATACCACATTTTAAAAATAAAATGTT